TAGGTTTAAAGAACACCTAGCTATGCAGTCGGTGAGGGAATATGGGCTCATGCCCTATAATGACTGTAGGTCTCCCGACCCTAAGGATAGAATGAATAGGGTACGGAAAGGTGAGTTTGTGATTTTTAAGGACTCTTTGAAGGCTAGGTGCACCCCTTCTTCGTAGGCTTCTTGGTTGAGCATTCTATGTGCATGGCGCAATTAGTGCCCAATGGGTGGAGAATGCTCATCTATTTCTTCATCGCCTATAGATTCCTAGGCATCACCCTCTACCTTGACCTTTGTAGGATGGTGTTCGAGCTTAAACAGGTCCCTAGGTTCACGTGTTTTGCTTATCTTTCCTCTCGAGGTTCATTTAGGATCCCGAGGATGCCTAGTTCACTGAAGGGGTCGAAGGATAAGTGGTTTTATGTCATAGCTCGGGATCCCGATCTCCCTTTTTGGCCTTTGTGAGATATCCCGGACACAGCAAAATTTTGTGAGAGACAGGCCTACTTAGAAACTCTAGAGAGGGATCGGCAGATGCTAGAGGATCTCGAGCCCTTGGTGTATGATATAGATGATATTCTCGGTGATGACATCCTCGATCTTGCGTATATGAAAGGCCTCGAGGGTAGGATATTTATTCTTCTGTTTGATTTATGAATTATGCTCGATCATAAGCTCTTGCCTAATACTTCTTTTGTGCAGAAATATCTTTTGATCCATCAGCTCTTCGTCGAGCAGTGACCTCAAAGTCTAAGGAGCCACAAGTCAGGACTCCAGGTCAGAAGAAGGGGAAAAAGAGACCCGGGTATACACAACTGATTCTCTTTCTCGGGGTCCAGGAGAGTCGTCAAGGCCTCGAGATCCGAGCCATCTTCTCCCTCGACGACAAGGGGGTTTTCCTAGGCAGACACCGAGGCCATCGCAGCCACTGCCTCCTCGGGTAACTTCCGAGGTTGTTGATCTAAAGGATGACTCTATTCCTCCTATTGCCTCGATCATCGAGGATTTTGAGCGATGCCATCTGGTCCCGAGCATCGTCACGTAATACTGAGGCGACATCGGGTTTGACGAGGGGATGAAGGCCCTGGAGCTCCTTACCTTAAAAGTAAGTGTCTTGCCTTTTATAATTTTGTGCCAAGTATTTTTCTTGTTCTTATCCTCTTGATTTTTGGTTGACAGACACTCAGTGTTGCACGAGGCCTTTCTCTGCAAGGGATGGACGAGTCCCACAAGATGGCTGGGCTGGTCGAGGCCGTAGAGCTTCGAGATAAGAAGTTTGCTGATGCTAAGGCTGCTCGATCTCAACTCCAGAGGGAGCGTGAGGATGCGAGGAACGAGCCGAAGAAAGCTCGGGACGAAGTGGGGGCGGCCAAGGATGAGGCCAAAGAGGTGAAGCTCGAGCTTGAACAGCTCAAGAAGGATTTTGAGGCCAAGGTTGAGGAGGCTCGAGCTTCGGTAATCGAGAACTTTAAAAAGTCCGAGGAGATGGATAGGCTGAAGGGTGAGTATGCATTAGGCTCATACCTTCATGCCCTTAAAGAAGCCCTAGCCTTCCTCAGGATGAAGATGCCCGAGGTTGCCCCTGAGGAGCTAAAAATGATCCCGGACATTGCTGAGACCCTCGAGCTGTCTGATTCCGACAACATAGTCGATGATACAGTCGAGGATGAGGATGCTAATAATGCTCCCGGGGACGACCAAGATTAGATTGTCCTAGGCCCCTTCCCCGTTTATAAATTCCATGTACATTGCCTGGTCTTGGGCTTTTTTGGAAAGAAATTTTTTTTTTAAATGAATGCCCGATTTTATCTTGTTGCCTGTTTTCCATTATGCTCAATAATCAATGCATTAAAGTCGTATCTCGATGGTTTAGTTTAGGCATTTTGCCAAGTGATGAACTCAATCATGACACCGATAATGTTATTAACATGTAACTCGACGACTAAATGAGGATTGTAAAAAAGTCTCCACATGATGTTTCAAATCAAGGTAATATCTCGATCCTAGGGTCATTCCTTAACTTGGAATTATCTTGAGGAGTAAACTCCACAATCATTTTCATAAGAATGCATTGAGCTCAAGCATATTACACATGTATAACTCGAGGACTGGATTTTATAAAATCATTTTTGGGAAAATATGGTAAGCTCGAGCATACACAAATATATCTCGAGGACTGGATTTTATAAAATCATTTTTGGGAAAATATGGTGAGCTCGAGCATACACGGATATATCTCGAGGACTCCATTTTATAAAATCATTTTTGGGAAAATATGGTGAGCTCGAGCATACAAAAATATATCTCGAGGACTTGATTTTATAAAATCATTTTTGGGAAAAATATGGTAAGCTCGAGCATACACATTTATTGTTCGGGTAAAGACTTTGAATGTGCTTGCGCGGAGCAAGGCTTTCGAGGTGCTTGCACGGGGCAAGGCTTTTAAAGTGCTTGTACAGGGCAAGACTTTTAAAGTGCTTGTGCAGGGCAAGGCTTTTAAAGTGTTTGCGCGGAGCAAGGCTTTCGATGTGCTTGCGCGGGGCAAGGCTTTTGAGGTGCTTGCTCGGGGCAAGGCTTTTAGTAGCGAGATAAAATTTTGGTGAGTAGCTTAATCCTTATTATACTTTAAAAATAGACTTGGCACGCAGGCTTGAAAACTAAAAACGTGAACCTTGGCACACAGGCCTAACTACCGAAAAATGGAAGAACAAGTTACTTGTAATATATTTTTAAATTCTCGGCGTTCCATGGTCTTGGAAGCCGTCTTCCTGATGTATCCCTTAAATTGTATGCACCTCCTTGGAGCTGTCATATGACTTTGAAGGGCCCTTTCCAAACTAGTCGTAGCTCGTCCGGGGCATGACCTACTACTTCGGCCCTTCTTAACACAAGGTCTCTGGCTCTGAATCTCCGCGTCCTCGCTTTTTTATTGAAGTACTTTGTTGTTTTATCTTGGTAAGAGGCCATTCTTAAAGCTGCCTGATCACAAAATTTTTTCCAAGAGGTCGAGGTGTTTAGTGGAGCGCCCTGCATCTTCGGGCTCAAGCTTTCTTTGGCTGGGCAACCTGACTTCAACAAGGATGGCAACCTCAATACCGAAAGCCAACATGAAGGGGGTTTCCTCCGTAACGGTTCTGTGGGACATTCTATATGTCCAAAGTATGAAAGGTAACTCATCAGACCAGAAACCTCTTGCATCTCTGATCTTTATACAGAGGTCTTACAATATAATCCGATTGGTCACTTCGACAAGACCATTACTTTGAGGATAGAAAACTGATGTCAAACAGTGATCGACCCCCAGGTTGGAGCAGAAGTTTTTAAATTGTGCATTGTCAAACTGCCTGCCATTATCAGTTATGAGGACTTTCGGTATCCCAAACCTGTATATGATGGACCTCCAAATGAAAGTTCTCAACTTAGGCTCTGAAATTGTTGCTAAAGGCTCGGCCTCCACCCACTTAGTGAAATACTCTACAGCCACAACCACAAACTTCAATTGCCCCCTAGTTATTGGAAAGGGGTCAAGGATGTCAATTCCCCACTACTCAAACGGGGCCGTGCAACTAATGCTAGTGAGGTCTTCTGCGGGAGAGTGGATGATATTGTCGAATCTCTGGCACTTGTTACACTTCTTGACATATTCCTGGGCGTCTTTCTTCATGGTAGGCCAATAATATCCATATCTTATGAGCTTGGGGCTAATGCCTGAGCTCCTTGATGGTTCTCACATATCCCTTCATGAACTTCTAAGGCCTGGGATGATTTGGAAAGCTTAAGGCATTTGAGGTATGGGAGTGTGAGGTTTCTGCGAAATAAAACTCCCTCAATCATGCAATACCTTGGAGCTTTAGACCGGATGCTTCTTGCTGCTCGAGGATCTTCTGGAAGATTGCTATATTTATGAAGTCCACTATTGGATCCATCCACGATGACTCATTATCGATATCCATGACACCTACGGTCTGATTGATGCTTGGCTCAGTTACAATTTTAACGTGGACTGTCCTGTTAAGCCCATCTATTCCTATAAACACCAATCTTGACAAGGCATCGGCCTTACAATTCTCAGCCTGAGTAATTTTCACAATTTCACAACTCTTGAATTTTCTCTGGAGATCATGCACTTTCAAGCAGTATAAGCTCATCTTCTCGTCCTTCCTATCAAACGTCTCTTCAATTTGTCCAACCATCAACTGGGAATCACTGTAAATTTTGATATTTTCAAGCTCAAGATTGATGGCAAGTTCCATGGCTATAATGACGGCCTCATATTCTGCTTCATTATTGGTTGCCTCAAATTCGAACCTGAGTGCGCACTTAATGTTTATGAGCATGTCCAGGCTTATGATTATGACCCCTGCACCCGACCCCGAGGAGTTTGATGCTCCATCTATGAAAATTTTCCATACGTCTATGGTCGAGCTCGAGCTACCATCTGGCCCCCGAGGCCTTGGGGTGAGTTTTGTAATGAAGTCAGCTAAGGCCTGAGCTTTGATAGATGGACGAGGCTTGAACTCTATCTCAAATTCTCCGCGTTCAGTTGCCCACCTTAGTAATCTTCCTGAGACGTCTGGTTTCTGAAGAATGTATTTTAGAGGCTGATTGGTGAGCACTACAATAGGATGGGATTGAAAATATTGTCGAAGCTTTCGTGTTGCCACTATCAGTGCAAGGGCAAGTTATTCTACCAAAGTGTATCTTGTTTCTGCATCAAGTAGGACTTTGCTTGCGTAATAAATGGGTCGCTGGACCCTGTTAATCTCTTTCACCAAGACACTACTCACTGCATTCTGAGATACGGCTAAGTATAAATACAGAGTATCCTTGGGCTCAGGTTTGGTGAGGATAGGAGGAGATTCCAGTGTCTGCTTGAGCTCCTGAAAAGCCTTCTTGCACTCCTCATTCCATTCAAAGCAATGATTACCCCTAAGGGCTTTAAAGAAGGAAAAACACCTGTCTGCTGCTCGGGACATGAACCTGTTTAAGGCAGCTACCCTGCCTGTTAACTTTTAAACTTCTTTCTTGGTCCTTGGTGGTTCCATTGCTGCCAAAACCTGAATCTTGTCGGGGTTGGCCTCAATCCCCCGATGAGTGATCATGAAACCCAGAAACTTTCCTGAAACTACGTCGAATACACACTTCTCTGAGTTGAGCTTTATCTTATATTTTCGTAGGGTGACGAACACCTCCTCTAGGTTGGATATGTGTTGCTCTACCTTCTTACTCTTTACAACCATGTGGTCCACATAGGCCTCGATGTTCTTCCCTATCAAATCGACGAAGACTTTGTTGATGAGTCTTTGATATGTCGCCTCAGCATTTTTTAACCCAAATGGGATCACCCTATAGCAAGATATGGCTGAATCAGCCATGAATGAGGTATTTTTCGGTCATGAGGATTTGATAATACCCTAAAAATGCATCTAAGAAGCTGTACAGCTTATGTCCGGATGTGTTATTCATAAGATTGTCAATCCTGGGTAATGGGTAGCTATCTTTTGGGCACGCCTTATTGAGATCTGTGAAGTCACTGCAGACCCTCCATTTGTTACTGGCCTTTTTCACAAGAACAACATTAGCGAGCCAATCGGGGTATTGGACTTCTTTTATGAACCCTACTCTCACCAATTTACTGACCTCTTCCTGAATGACCACAAGTCTTTTCGGCGTAAACTGCCTCTTTCTTTGCTTAACAGGTTTGGCCCCTGGGCTGATATTGAGTCTATAGACAGCTACTTTTGGGTCTATCCCTGGCATATCCTCCACCTTCCATGCAAAAATATCAATGTTTCGGGACAGACAATCGATGACTTCCTCCCGGAGGTTGGCCTTGAGATCCCGACCAATAGTAATGACTTTCCCGTGCTCAACGGGGGCCAATCTACCCCTTGGCTCGAGGTCGAGCTCAAGGTCTGCAAGTTGCATGACATCAACACTCATTCCTCGGATGCTAGTAACATAGCACTGTCTGGCAGCTGTTTGGTCTCCTCGAACTACTCCGATGCCATGACCTGTGGGGAACTTTATGGCCAGGTGGAAAGTTGACACAATAGCCTGGATCTTGTTTAGTAGGGGTCTTCCCAGAATGATGTTGTAGGCCATTGGGGTATTAACCACTTGGAATGGTGTGATCTCCGTCACTTGTGTATTACCAATTCCTAATATAAGCGAGAGCTCGACGATGCCTTCAGGGATAATGACTCCACCACCAAATCCCTGTAGGGGAATTTTTACTGCTTTGAGCTGTTTGGGAGAGATCCCCATTCTGGCGAAAGCCTTCTGCGAGAGTATATTTGCTCCACTCCCATTATCAACCAGAATCCTCTTTACTTCTAAGTTAGCCACAACCGCAGAGATGACCAAGGCATCGTCATGAGGATATGATATTCCTTCCAAATCTCTTGCCCTAAAAGTGATGTCTTTGACTTCATCACGGGATTTTCTTGGGGTATGAGCATGTTGGCGGGCATACTGCTTTCGCCCACTACTTGTGTCTCCCTCGGATGCTATGCCCCCAACGATAATATTAATGGTCCCGGCAGTGGGTTGAGCACTACTTCCAGCTCCAGGCTCTTTTCAATTGTCAGGGTCATTCCTCGGTCGTTTATCATGACCAATATAATTCTTTAAAAATCCTCTTTTGATAAGGACTTCAATTTCTCCCTGTAAAGCATGACAGTCCTCTGTGCTATGCCCATGATCTCGGTGAAATTCGCAATACTTGCTCCTATCTCTTGTGTCAGAGGGCGACTTTATCCTTGAGGGCCACTTTAATTATTTCATATCCTTAATCTCCATCAAGATGTTTGTCTTAGAGGTGTTCAATCGAGTGAGAGGTGCTAACGAGGCCTCATTCCTATGCTTATCCCGAGGAAGCTCATGCCGGAGGATGGGATCATGTTGTCTCTTGTTCTCGGTCTTTTCATGGGAAGGACCAGGTCTCCTTGGATTTAGTGTTTCCTCCATATTAATGTATTTTTCAGCTCGGGTGGGGAGCTCGGTCACTGTTTGTAGCGGGATCTTTGATAAAGACATCTTGAAAGCTTCACATCTTACAGCGTAAGTAAGGGCGGAGATAGCTGCTGTGATGTGAAGGTCGGGTATTTGAAGCCTTTCCTTGTTGAACCTTGTTATAAATCCTCGTAGGGTTTCAGTTGGTCCCTGGCGAAGTTGCACGAGAGAGGCCGCAGTTTTCCTGATTCGCTTGCTACTTGCAAAGAAGGCTAAAAACTTATCAGCCAAATCTGAGAATGAGGCTATGGAGTTGGGCTCCAATGTTGAGGACCAATCCCTAGCAGCATTAGTCAGTGTTTGTGGAAAGGCTTTGCACATAACCTGAACCAGCGCAACTTGCAAGTTCATGACATCAATAAATATATTGAGATGGTTGATGGGGTCGGTCATCCCATTATACTCTTTAATGCAAGGATATTTGAATTTGTCGCGCAAGGGATATGACAATATCTCTGGCGTGAATGGAGTGTTAGGGGTGAAACATGTTGGTCCCCGAGCATTCCTTTGCAGGCCAGCAGTAATTCCTTCTTGAATGATCCGAGCAATTTTACCGGAATTCGTGGCGATCGATCTCGAGCCCGAGGCCATATTGTGAATACCTAAGGTTCCTACTCCGCCAGTTGCGAGGTTTGGTGGTCGTGCTCGAGCATCAACATAAGATCGTCGTGCCCTGCCTGCGTTGACGACGGATGTGAATTTCTTTGACTTAACAGTTGCGTGAACGTGGCCACCTGCTGACGGAGCTCTTCAAAGGCTTCGGTTGTGATGACCGGTGACAGAGGTATGGGCACTCCTGACGATTCTTCATGAGGAGCTGGTTGATCTTCAGCAGGATGAGGGATAGGAGCAAATGAGCTTGCGGGAGAAAGACCTGATCGTGTGTTAACCATGGCTTTTGGTAGCGTTTCCCACAGACGGCGCCAATGATGCTACCAAAAATCGTACCTGCTAATTTTTCGAGCTTGATGATTTGGATTGAGCACGATCGTAGTCCTCCGGTACCTGAAACAAAGGCAACGATGTATGTTTTCATCGCCCCTCCGATGCTTAAGTCAGAAAGGGAATTATATGCGTGAGGCTATAAATTGGAGAATAATGAAAACGTACCTGAATAATGGCTCAATGTTCTGTATATATAGTAGTAAGAGACATTCTCCTAGTGGGACTCAACTAGTTGGATATCCTTATCTATTGGAGTCCTCTACGGTTAAGGAATTGGACAAATACCGAAATTATGCTTAAGATAGAGTCCTTATCAGGGTCAAGTATCAAAATAGTAGTCCATAGTTAGAGTTCCAAGTAGATAGGAATCCTAATGGATCAACACAACCTAGGAAACTCGAGGAGGGGGATTCCCGAGGACATCATATCCCGAGGACCTCAGGCGTACAACACCGTCGTCACACGATTGAACATCCTCGAGCATGTGTCATCGAGGACAATGCTCGAGGACATCAAGCTGCAATATGGTGAGGGAGTTATTTCCAGTCATCGAGGATAATGCTCAGGTATAGATGAATAATAGGGTGTATCACAGGTGAGGTCCTCGGGATATGATGTCCTCGGGAATCCCACTCCTCGAGTTTCCTAGGTTGTGTTGATCCATTAGGATTCCTATCTACTTGGAACTCTAACTATGGACTACTATTTCGATACTTGACCCTGATAAAGACTCTATCTTGAGCATAATTTTGGTATTTGTCCAATTCCTTAACCGTACAGGACTCCAATAGATAGGGATATCCAACTAGTTGAGTCCCACTAGGAGAATGTCGCTTACTACTATATATACAGAACATTGAGCCGTTATTCAGGTACATTTTCATTATTCTCCAGTTTATAGTCTCATGCATATAATTCACTTTCTGACTTAAGGATCGGAGGGACGACGAGAACATATCTCGTTGCCTTTGTTCCAAGTACCGGAAGACTACAATCACGCTCAATCCAAATCATCAAACTCGACAAATCAGCAGGTACGATTTTTGGTAGCATCAATACCCATTAATTTATTTTATGGTTTGGTATAGGATTATTTTCAATCACGCATTCACACAATGATATATTCTACATGTATATCAAGATTTTTCATACTTTTTAACTCCACATTCCCCTAAAAATACCAATCAAAACTCATTTTTTCCTCTCCAATTAATGAATAATGAGAATCAAACGGGCTCTTAACTAACTTTTCTTAATTCCATTCAAAAAGTAAAAAAAAAAAAAGGAGGTTTAATTCACCTAAACACGTATAAAAATAAAAATAAAAAGTTTATATAAAAAAGGTAAAAAATAAAAACTGTCACTCCCTTAGATGAAGAATTCTAAATAGCCCTTCAGGACATCTTAGTGGTACAAATGGCAGGAGTGATCTAGTTTTAACCTTGTTGATAGTCACAATATCAGGATTTAATTCCTGAAATATAAAATTAAATTCTATGTGAGCGCCAATATACAAACATCTTTAGCCCTGAACCTGTTGAGACACATCTCCAGATTTAGCTCATGCTCCACGGCCGGTCGTTGGGGGTCTCAACCTTTAGAATTCTAAACAAACACTTGAGGTGGCGGTGCCTTGACGCCTGATCTGAATTTACCACCTCGGCCCAGGACCGGTCACCGTGTAGTGCCTCTCCGCTTAGATTGTTGGGAGCTAAAATGGGGTCAGCGCAGCAACGACTTTACAAGACATAAAATTGTGACGTACGACTTTGGTCATAAATCCAGCGCCCATGTTCTCTTCCCGCGCTCCTAATCCCTCAGTCGACGGATAATATAGATCGCAATATTTTCACTCTCTCGGATTTTCTTCTTCAATCAGACTTCAGTAATGTGGAGGAGAAAAAGGCTCTCGGTTAGTAATTTCCATTTCTCCTCTCAGATTATTTATTCAGCGTTGCATATTTTGTTTTTTATACCATTATTTCTGGCCAATCAAAATTATTATCGAATTATTAATTTGAAGCTACAATTTGGAGCAAACTTGCAGGATAACATTGATTCTGATCAGAGTATTTCTGGTAGATTTACCTCTTCCAGTGTAAATTTAGATAGGTAAGTTAGACTTCTGACAGGGCTTTTTATTCAATTTTTTCTTGATTCAATTTGGAACTAACAGAAGAGGAGGAAACTTTGGAGGGTGATTGGTCAGAAAAATATATATCCTTGGGTGGTCCTATGGATAACAAGGTGAATACTCTAAACCATTGTAAAAAAAATGGTATATAGTCGTTTAATGAATTTTTATAGGTAATAGCAACTTGAAATTTTAATTTTTTTGATATAGCGAAATTCAATATTGCTAACTTTATGATATTACAATTTGAATGTAAAGTCTTTTCTAGATATATATTGTGTAATTCAATGTGCATTGGCAGGGGGAAATACAAGTTCTCTCACAGTTCGAGAAACTAAGAGGTATTCATTTGATTCGTTTCTTCTATACACATTTCAAATGTATAACTACATCTTGAATGAGCATGTCACACTTTTGTTGTAAAAATTAGTCACCGTGTGTCTTTGCAGATTCTTGCCAGCTTGATCCAACAGAAAAGGTGTCCACTTCATCTTGTGAGGTATTAACCTGAAACTATGATAGCTACTTTTTTCTGACTCAGTAACATTTAGCCGGACCTCCTGCAGAGATCAAATCAATTCATTAAAATTGGAAATCATGTTTACTGGAATAGAAGGTTAAAGAAAACCTTATTTTCACTACCATGAGAATAAATCGACTCTTTTTCCTCCATACGAATATCTGCACGTTTTCAATTTACATAGCTTCCATCTTGAATCTTTTTGTTAGCAGAGGCAAGTAGGTTTTTGTATTGATGATGAAGTTGAAGACCCTCTCTTTAATGATGAGGATGATTCCATTCGTCATCCAAGAATCTCTGCTTGCTACTCGAATGAAAAAACTGACAACTTACCAACAGTGGCATCGATCTCTAACTCCGACGAAGAAATTACTTCTGCTGATGAGGTGTGTGCTAATAAGATACTTTATTAACTTCATAGCTGCTGTTTGTTATGTCACTTTTTTGTTCTGAAATGCAGTCCATTTTTAGTATATTCTTCGGTAAACCATGTCTTTAACTATGCTGTTTCAAATTTCAAGAAAGTTAGCCTTCATACACTGGGAAGCGTAAAAAGGGATGTTGGTGGCACATGGTCCAAAGCAAGTCGAGAAGCTGAGGCATTACTTTGCTTATATGAAAACTCTAGCTCTTCCTCATCTGGAGGTGCCTTCGTGAAGGAAAACAAATCATCTAAACGTATCACCTCTTTTTCTCTTTCCTACAAAATTATTTTGACAAGTTGACATTATTTTTCTTCCATCTATGGGCGGTGACCAATGCAATCATGCTGCTGTCAATTATTTGCTTCTTGCATTTTGTTTCAATTTCCACCCTTATCATTCAAACCCTCTCACACTTCCTCAAAGTGCTCCATATTTGAAAAGCACGGAAAGAGAGAGGAATAAAGCATCTCAACTTTGAATATGTGAAGAGTTTTTGCTTGACTATTATTTATAGAGTTAATGTCTTGTGGGAATCAGCCTATGGTTAAATCGAAAAAGTATTTGAATTCCTATCACTTGTAGATCACTTAAACTCTGGGACTGTTCTTCGGTTGGTCTAGAGTTATGATCAAATTTACTCAAATAGTTTCTTGACTGCTCCAGGTGGGGGCAGGGACAAAGCCAAGCCCAAATTTTCTTTTGGTTTCCAGTCAAGCAAGGAAGATCTGCCTTTAGTTCTCAGGCGTAAGAAAGATCAACTTGATGCTGCAGCTGACAGAGACATGAACCAATCAATTGATGGTACGAGGTGGGTTTTTCAAGGCCAAGAAATAGAGCAGACTGAGATTCACACGGTACAATCGGAACTGGCCCTTAATTGTCTTTTTAAAGAGCATTCAATGGCTGAATTCAATCTTATTTTTTATCTAGGATATTGGGAAAAGAGGAAGAAACCCACAGATCATTCCAAATAGAAATCCATCTCCATCGGGTGATGGAAGCATGGATGGTGATGACCTAATTGAAGCTTTGGGTAATAGACTGTCCAGTGATGATGAGGTATTTCCTTGGTAAACTGTCATTTATTTTCAGTTCCATTGACTGTGATATATCATCTGTGAAATTCACTTTCTGACTTTGTACTCTCTGTTTCAGGAGAACCCTCAAAGTTTCAAGTCAAATATTCCTTGCAGGACTATGTTAGATCAATTTCAGGAAGCTTTTGGAACTGTTCCTGTGAATGATGAGAGGCCACACTTAGTGCTGCCTAGACCATTGGGGTGGGTAGTGGTGCTAAATTCTTTCAAGTTAGCTGCATGTAGATAATACACCTCTACTTTGAGTCAAAATCTCACTCTAATTTGGCAAATTGCAGCGGTGGATTGTTTGGAAGGTTGCAGCAAGTAATTCAGAGTGAGAAGGTAAGGGATTCCGAATACTTGAAGAATTTATGTGCAGAAGACCATTCAAAGGGTAAAATTAAACCTAACATTATCCAACACTTGCACATTCTCTTACAAAAATGTGGCTGCACATGGCTGCTTCTCTATTGAAACCTTTTCTTTTTTCAGATGAAAGAGACTGCATTGCTGTAAGAATTTTGTCAAGGTCTCTGGAGGCAAAGCTGACTGTTTGTTCTTGCACTTTTATTGGAGATGGAGAGGTACACGCACTAAGAATACAATATCCTAAATAAATGATGAAAAAACTCTTGCTCTTGCTCTTGCAGCCCTTGCATTTTCAAGATATTTGGAAATACCATACAGCTCATTTTCTTTTAAAATTTAGCAACTTTTGAGATAGAAGGCTGTGGAACTCTTGCAAGGTGTTCTGTAGTCTCTTTCACTGCCCTACATAATTGAATGAAGTTTGAAGTTGGCTTGTGAAATTTTCTTAGCTTCTTTTGTATTGTGAGGTATCTGTTGGAATCGAGCGTGTAGGTGCCAAACTCATGATGATTTGAATCTGGTTGTTGGTTGTTCATGAGGCTGATGCTCTATCTAACAAATAAACCAGATTTTGTTATCATACAACAGTTTAACTGACAGTTTCTCGGGTTTCCTAGTCCCCCAAACACCTGGTTTATTTATTAGATACAACAGTTTAACTGAATCGTGATTTTTCATTTGCGTGAACAAATATGATTGTTTATTCTATGCACACTCCTTTTATGGTGGCAAAAAATTATGCCATGCTACGTTTTTCTTCTGCAGAGCTCCTGTTGGGAGAAGAACATGCAACCCAAAATGAAAATCTGGGGAAGGACTTTAACTATCATTTTCAACTCAAGAATATGCTGTGATGTTGACCTTGAAGTTGGCAACCTCATTTGCATACATTCCCCTTGGTATGAGCTGCATAAGTTTCTTTACTGCTTTGAATTGTGTGAATTTGAGGAAATTTTGAAACAATGGCAGGGATTAAGTTGACTGATCCTCCTGAAATCCACCTATTTTGTTCACTTTGGTTATGTTTAATACACCGGATTAGACCGTTTAAAGATAAAATTATATTGGTATTACTAGGTAGAGGTGGATAATGTTCTCTAAATTTTCATTCAATAAAAATATAGTTGACTATTTTCTTATCCGGTCTAAACCCACCTCCAACCTCCTTATTATGTTATTTGGTTGATATGCAAATGACTGTCATTTTGCATTTGAAAAATTGTGATGAGAGATTCCTTTATCAAACACTATCTTGTTCAGAATCAATATTCTAAACCTTTTTCAAAAATACAAAAAATTCAGTATCTTCTCACAAATCAGTGAATTAGCAAGGATTCCTTATATAGAATAACAAGAGTTGCGTCAATTCACACGTAGCACTTATTTGACATCTTCTGAATCACTTAGCAAATTTGTTTGTGTTTTAATTTGTCCTTTTGGAATGATTAAACTGAGGGAGCTCTTCCTTGATAGACTTTCATATTCAAGTTTGTAACTAATGATACAAGTTTAAAGTGTTGGTATTGATCTCTGATATCTATGAACTGCAGCACCCTGCCACTTATTGGATTTTCTTTCTTTTTCAACCGTAAATTTTATAATTAAATACATATAGGCATATCTCGATCTTCTCTCATAGTAATATCTGTTAGAAGATTTGTTCACAAATTGTCACTCACTGTGAATCAAGAATATGAACGATAGCCTTGTAACGATGACAGTTCCCAAAAACAGTTTCTTATCAGATGTTATTTCTATTTTTTTCAATATTATTAATGAGAGTGCTAGCTGCAGTTATGTTTAAAGCATCACTGTATACTGTGCTTGTTTCTACCTTTTTTTTCCTCTGGGGCAACATCAAATTTTATGCCATTTTCTGTCGCAGGAAGAAGGTACAGGTGAAAGAGACAGGTGAGGTCATTTTATGCACATATTTTTCCGGGATCCAGCTCTGATTTCAAATTCCGGCTTGAAATAAACAAGCTAAGGATGGAGTGGTGCAGCTTGAGTTCCTTCCCTCTGATGCTGGTTTTTCAGGACGAGTACCAAAAATTGCCCGACGTGGATGGAAGAAACTTAGTCGAATCTGGAGTGATCAAAGTTTGGCTAGTCCCCAGGATGCGGTTTTTAGCACTACTCTTCTTGGAAGTAAGTCTCAAATGTAAACTTGACTGACTTTTGAGCAAAATATTATACCATGACGTTTGTTTACATTGTTTATTGAGTTTATATTTAGAACATGTTTGGTACAGTTTAAGGGCCCGTTTGATAGGGATTTTGAGAATTGATTTTTTGATCGTTAGAAGAAAAGTGGGGTCCACATGTGAGAGAAGAAGTCAAAAATTACGGCTTGAATAGTAAAATAACGGTCAAAAAATTAATTTTTTTGGGCAAAAAATTCCTACCAAACGGGGCCTAAAATCCAATTAAAATCAATTTTTTGACCGTTATTTCACTATTCCAACTGTCATTTTTGAATTCTTCTCTTACAGGTAGAACCCACTTAATCTTTAACTGTAAAAAAATCATTTAACAAAATTCCTACCAAATAAACACTTAATTAATTTTCCGAAATCATATAAATATATTAGCATTATCTTCTCTCTTTTTTTCTTTTTTCTTTTTTTTTTTATCTTAAATGGAATAATTAAAATAGACACTTTTTCTTTCCATAGAAAATTAAATTTTATATTATAAAGTTACTTTGAGCTTCAATACTTGAACAAAACAAAAAAGAAAGAAATGATTTAAAAAAAAAAAAAAAAAGTGTGCAACTTATGATTTGTTACTTATTTTGATAGTGTGAATGCAATTACTTTCAAGTGTGTGTGTGTATATATTATTGAAACTTGTATATAAAATTTTTAACTTTAGCCATAATATATTAAGCCTTCATTTGGTTCTGATTCTTTATCCCAAAAAATTAATTTTTTGATCATTATTTTCAATAGTTAGTCGTCATTTTTTATACCTTTACTCACAGATGAGACCTATTTTTCTCTCTAATGGGTGAAAAAATTGATTTTTATATACACTATCGAACATGCCTCAAATCAAATAATATATTTCCATATTTTTATTTTTGTTATAAATGAGCTCAATTACTGGGCTTAGTTTAAAGGATGGGAAAATTACATAAATCCAAATACTTAAACTTCCAAATTCAAAATTTAGGGTTAAAGTTTATTTGTGCAAAAATCAGGTGTATATATTGGTAATCCACCCAATCAATTAAAAACCCTAATAATTTTCCCAATTGAATCCCATTTCTTCCTTTCTCACTCTAAAATCTCTCCCCTCTCTGTAAGAAATCGCCATGGAGATTACTCGCCGACGGCGTTCACGACGTCGTAGCTATAGTATGGGCACCGCTGCAAGAGGCGAAGATGGCGACCTTTGCCCAGGAAATTAGATGTGCCATTCGGCGAGTTGTGGCGGTGAGGCGAAGCAAATCCACCCACTTCGGCGAGGTGTTGTAATGAAGAGGCAAAGCAGTCTAGCAGATCCACCACGAAGCATATCCACCCCCTCCATCAGACGCCAACTCCACTGAGGTGCTACTGTAATGAACAGGCGAAGCAGAAGCAGTGTTGTGGTGGTTTTGGATGGTGTTATGTGTGGTAGTGGTGATGGTGTTTGTGTGGTGGTGATTTTGTAGAGGTGGATCTGGAGGTTGTGTGGTGGGTTTGGATGGTTTTTTGTGTGATGGTGGTAATGGTGTTTCCATGGTGGCTGTTTTGTAGTGGTGGTGGTGATTGTTGGTGGGACAGCGTGGTAGTGGAGCGGTGAGGTGGCGGTAATCTTGGTGGCGATGGTTGTACGTGGGACGACTGGGGTAGGGATGTTTGTTGGTGTTTGTGGTGGTTTGGTGCAAGCAATGGCCGTGGTGGTTGTCATTTTTATTTTTATTTTTTTGTTTTTGTTTTTTGTTGGTGGTGATGTGTTGGTGTTGATGGCGACAGCGACGGTAATAGGGTGAGGGCAAGTGGCAAGCAACGGTTGTGTGTTGATGATTTGTGAACTTGGTGGTGGATTGTGTGTTTGATGTCTGTGACCCAATAGTTCCTATGACCGTAAACTGTGACCTTAAAATTCAATCTTCTGTGGCTAAAAAAGTAATATATGACTATCGAATTTGAAAATATGTGACCTGTGACCTATAATTTTTTGGATTTGTGATCGATGACATAAACTGTGACTTATATTCGTGACCTCGAAATAATCTGTGACCATTTAATTTGATAATATATGACCAATAAATAAATTTGTTACCATTAAAAGTATAACTATGACTATTATCATTATTTAATAAGTATTTTTAATTAATTAAATATATACTTGAGTTTTGAAATTTTAAACTATAAACCTGATTGGTGAATTGGTGTAAACAATACACCTAAATTACGAATTTTTTTCCTTAAAAGGATATGATCCAAGTTAGTTACCATACCGGGAAAGCCGAATGCGTCGTCATTCACTTTATGCACGCATCAATAGCATTACTAAATGGCCCCTAAATAATATTAGTAATTACAAGCCCGTGAACAAGTTACTAGAAAAGGGAAAATTATTGTTGGAGTCCCCATACTTTGAGAGAAGTATGACACTTAGGTCTTCGATAAATATAATACTTTCAATTTCGGAGCACACTGAATACTACTTGATGGAATTCATATATTTCGTCATGTATAATAGAACTTCATGTACTTTATTGTCGTGTTTTCCTTTTTCCTTCAATTTATAGTTTTCCCCTTTGACGAGAAATAAATATGATTTTAACACAATTGGCCTTAAAATAAATTATCATATACTACTTTAGTATCAAAATAGCCTGATTTCATCTCTACGCCTATTCACGTTTTGTGAGCCTATAAACCAAATATATTAATATCATGTTTGTCTAAAAAATTAGATGGCTTATTTTTAGAGTTCAGATATGTTGTTTCTAGTTTTCATCCCTTTTGTCGTCTTTCAAATTTAAAAGAATAATGATATTCATCAGCATTTTTTGCATAATTTCTATTTGAACCCCATTTTTAAGGAAAAATATTTTTTAATAGTAATTTTTTTTAAATGTGCGATTAAAAATATGGAAAATTTTGAATTTATGTGTAAAACTATTTTATTGAAAGATTGTGTAGTTGAAAATATGTTTGAGAAAAAATGCATTTTTAGATAATGAGATTGAAACAAGAACTTATAAACAATGATATGACATTTTTAAAATCATTAAATATAATTATATAAAGGATATTTTAGTAATTTGTTGTATTAGGTTTGCTAAAAAATAAGAGGACATCCAAACATAAAAGTTTTAATATACCTACAAGTACATTTTATCCCAAACACGCATATGTTTTTTCTACCTATAAAATGCTTATAGCAGTGTTTGTTTGAGAATATATTATAATTTGTGTAAATTATAAATAAATAGAAAATGAGAACTAATATGTGGATAGTACTTATGAATTTCACAATACCAAAATAAGTTTAATCGATTATGTTCATAAATTAAAGAAAGATTGGTATCCATATGCCATAAAAAAATTGATCAGGAACGTAAATATTGGATGTTTTTAATTTTGAGGACCCTAACTGTAATTTCTTTCTCATACGTTCTACGAGGTCACGATTCTGAATTGACCCCAATCATGTACTGCCGAAGACTCCTCCTTTCTTTCAAATTCTGTTATGAACCCCCCTGTCATATTTCCAATAATCCCATTCATCTTGCCCCCGAGACATATTTCAGATAAGGTGCAGAGAACAAGGGTGAGGTATACTCAATCTTGCTGACAGTCGTCGTATGAAGGTTCGATTCCTCAAACATGGATTGAAATTATTTGTGAGCACTAGTATACATATAGCTCTTATTTTTTGGTCTATTGAAATACTTTCCGCGATTAACCTGTCTCACGATCCTTCAGGGTGCGTAGTGGGACGTTAATGTTGGATTTCAACATTTAATAATTCCATTCATATTCCTTCTTTGTGGACATTAGGGTACAAATAGATCTTACCTTTTGACCTATAGACATGCGTTCCGCGATTTACCTGTCACACATTCCTCCACCAGGGCGGAGTGGTGGGACTTTAAGGTTGGGTTTCAACCTTCAATAATTCCATTCATATTCCGTCGTTGTCGTCGTCCTCTCCATGGCAGCTATCCCCCATCCAAACCCTAACCCGAATTTATTCTCCCCCATGCTTCAGCCATACCTCGAGCAACAGCAACAATTTCCGCCCGGCCCGCCGGATGAAGAAACTGCTACTGAGAATGTAAACGAAAGTCCCCTGCCTTCTATTAATAATTCAATTGTCTCGAACCCGTATACAAATCCAGTGTTGATTGACTGGTCGACGACAACGCTCCTCCACGTGTCGTTCATCCAGGACTATAGCTGCTTTGCTGCCGGCACTGATCGCGGGTTCCGTATATACAATTGCGATCCCTTTGGGGGAGCTTTTTTTCAGGTCGGAGGTTCGTGGGGTTCGGTTGAGGAGGGACCGGATTGTGGTTGTCCTTGAGCAGAAGATTTTTGTGTATAATTTTGCAGATTTGAAACTGTTGCATAAGATTGAGACTATTGCGAACCCTAAGTGGCTATGTGCAGTGTCGCATGTGGCTGGATCATTTGTGTTGGTGTGTCCAGGGCTGCAGAAGGGACAGGTTAGGGTGGAGCATTTTCCTTCGAATAGGACTAAGTTTATTATGGCTCATGTTTCAAGGATTGCGAGCTTTACGCTGTCACAAGATGGAAATTTGCTTGCCACTGCCAGCACAAAGGGGACCCTGGTTCGGTTTTTCAATACACATGATGGGACTTTATTACAGGAGGTAGCATTTTGTTAACGAGTCTTATGCTTTTGATGTTTATAAATTATGTGTGCTTAACTTTGAGTTCTTGTTATAGTTTAATTTGTTCTGTTCGATGATCAATTGTTTTGACCAGGATTTTTTGCTGCAGAAAATGGACTCTTGATAAATCACAAGGAATAAAAAATAATTTAAGCTGATATTGAAGTTATCAAAGCTGAAATGCTATTGTTGGTGAAAATGGTTTCGAAAGGAGCTCATGTAAATTTTAGGCCGTTTATCTTCAGATGATCCAGTTTCATGTGGGATGGGTTTTTAAAATATTTTCATACTTATGAGCTGATATGGTATGTAATTCTGATGGGAGGGATTAAGAAAGTACTTTAATAAATGACTATTAGTTTAATATATGTCATGCTCCATAGTAAATTTTC